GCTCAAATGGTAGACACGCTACATTCTGGGCGCGACGTCACTGGTTCGACTCGACTCCCAAGGGGGTGTTTTTTTTTCTCTGTTTCATTCACGTTTTCTGTTTGTTTTATTCACATTTTAATTTTTTCTTTCTTAAAATTATTAATTTTTTGTTTTAAATTCAAAACGATAGGTCTCTTCATTAAAAACCCACCCACCCACTTTAATTCATTCAAAATCTAACAATTTTTATTTTATTTTTAGAATTAATATAAAACTCAAAATCTCCTTTATCAATTAGAATTATAGTTCCACTTTAATTCATTCAAAATCTAACAACTTTTTTTTATTTTTAGAATTAATATAAAACTCAAAATCTCATTTATCAATTAGAATTATAGTTACATAAAAATAGTGTTGACTCCTTATCAGGTTAATATTATTTTGCTATTCTATTTTTTTATTATGTTCTTGAATTTTTATTTTTATTTGTTCATAATAATAGTTACTATATTTTTTACTATCTACTTGTTTCAAATGGAATAATTTAGAGGCATAAAACAAAACTTTCATTGATTTTTTTCTGGAGCCATTTTGTTTCTTTAATGGTGACACCGCTTAGAAAAAATCATGTGTACGCCACTGCTTGCAGGTATGTTGAAACCAGACTATTAACTTGTGGTAATCAAAGTTATGAGATTAGTGAGTGGCTTAGAGAATTTGTGGGTCATTACCGTATGCCTCATCATGCTAGCATAAAGGAGAACCAGCAAGGGCAATTTAGTGGTGTCTTCCGAGATGAAAACGGATTTTGTTTAGGTAGTTACAGTGGTGAAACGGAATTTGTTTAGGCGTAGTTACAGTGGTGATACTGATGTCCAAGACGATGCTTGTTGGACTTGAGGACTTGATATATGGGTTGAACACAGCAAGGAAGGAGAGCCAAATGCAGAAAAATTGATTGTGGAGTCGCTTGTCCGATAAGAGAATTGGGGTCACTTGAGGCATTTCATAACTAATCCACTAGCTCCCAAATTAGTTGAAGTTTTAAAGCTTGTTTGGCCAAAAAATTTTAAACACTTATTTTAAAAGTATTTTTATTCATATTTGGATAGTAAAACTTTGTGTTTGACAAACTTATTGGAGAATAGTTATATTAAAATTTAATTATTTAATAACAATATGGACTCCTTATATGTGTATTGTAATTTGTAAACATATTTCCTTCCTACCCTTGCTTAATTAACTTAAGTATTCTATCTTAATTTGACTTAAAGTTTGTGTCAAGAATAGTGCTATATATATGAAATGTTACAAATATTATTAGTAAATACTCATATATAAACTGCTATACATGGATCATATGGATTCAAGTCATCTAAAAAGTTTAACATGTTAGATAACAACTAGTACTTTTATTTATTGTAATTGTTAAGTGTAAAACATGCATAACAAACGAGATTCTTTCTTCTTTATTTCTTTTGAGGTGAAAATATTTAATTAATGAGTGATGATGAAATTAATTCAAATTATTATATATAGCTACAAATTATTGTACTTTACTTTTAAATTTTTAATTAATCATTATTTACATGTTTATTAATATTATTTGTATTATTTTAAAAATTATATATGTTGACATTGGACAAACATGAAACGCACGTTCCCAAAGACTAGTATTACTAAAAGTAGGAAGCTCTAAAGTGTAAAGTTGAAATATCATTTTACCCCTATACTAAAAACTTTTTTTAAGAATCATATATTATTAATTATTATATATCAAATATCATGGGATACTAGAAATCTACTTTTTTTAATGAAATAGTAAAATGTCTGAAGAATTTGAAAAGTTAGTTTTTCATTAAAAAACATAATAAAAGATTGCATTCATCTATTAAAATTGTCAATCATTACTACTAAAATATAAAGAATGTGAAGAGTTAATATTGAAATAAAGTCATAATAAAAGACCATAATCATCTATATAATCAAATATATACGGATCATTTTGATAGGAAAGAAATGAGAGAAAAAACCATGAATTTTGTGGATTAATGTTGGAGGTGAGAATTTTATATATATATATTTGAATTTTTTTCACTAACTAATTTTTATTTGTTTCTCTACATTTCAGATTTAAAAGTGCAGTTGTTATTCTTCACTTCTCAATCACAACATCGGGTACTCATTTTCTGATAATTATTATTTGCCAATTTTTTAAATTTTTTTCGCTAACTAAATCTTATTTGTTTCTCTACATTTCAGAGTTAAATTTGCAGTTGTGTATTCTTCACTTCTCAATCACAACATCAGGTGCTCATTTTCTGACAATTATTATTTGCCAATTTTTTAAAAAAAATTCTCTAAGTAATTCTTATTTGTTTCTCTACATTTCAGATTTAAATTTACAGTTATGTTTTCTTCACTTCTCAATCACAACATCAGGTACTCATTTTTTTTTACAATTATTATTTTACAAAAATGTAACAGAATAAGCAGAAAAATGTAACATATGTCTAAGATTAAGATTTATGAAAACTATAAAAGATATAAACTTTAGATACATACATGATTATTAGTTCTTTGAACTTTTTTCCCTTTTTGGGGGGATATTTATACATGGTGATAGATTTTGTTATATTTTAAACATTATTATTATATTTAAAAAGGTTTACTAAAATTATTGGGAAAATACATAAGTACCCCCCAACCTATGCTCGAAATCCCAGAGAATAAGGTCATATTACCCCCTCCCCCCCCCCCCGACTTATTTTATAAATAATTTTCTACCCCTTTTCGGCCTACGTGGCACTATCAACCAGATAGCTTGAAAAAATAGTCAACATGCGCTATGCCCCAGAAGATAGTGCCACGTAGGCTGAAAAGAGGTAGAAAATTATTTATAAAATAAGTTCGGGGGGGGGGGGGGTAATAGGACCTTAGTATAGTATAAGTGTGTCTCTCGGATTTCGGGCATAGGTTGGGGTACTTATGCATTTTCCCAAATTTATTTTGTCAAATTCACATGTATTATAATTTAGAATCTTGAATTAAACAAAGGATGCATATAGTATGTACAACTATGATTTATATATATAATATAATAATCTTGAATTAAACAAAGGATGCATGTGTGTACAACTATGATTTATATATATGTAGTATTGATTAAATTTTCTGATATCACTAATTATTAATTAATTATCTCTATCACAAGACTATTATTTTTACACGTGTTGAGCCATGAAATTGACAATAATATACTAGAGTATGAGACTTTATAAAAGGAGAATGCTACAATTTCTTAAGACAAGATACAAACTTTAAGACTCGAAGCATTTGCAAACATCACTGGCCATGTTGCTCGTGTTCATATTCGAACTATTTGTTATTGAAATATCAAAATACAAAGAAACATATATCATAAAAACCACACAAGAAAAAGGTCAAATTAATTCAAATTATTATATATAGCACAAATTACTGTACTTTACTTTTAAATTTTTAATTAGTCATTATTTACACTAATATTATTTGTATTATTTTAAAAATTATATATGTTGGCATTGGACAAACGTGCAACGCACATTTTCAAAGACTAGTTCAGGTATAAAACTCAAGATACTAGGAAAATTTAAGAGTGTATTTTTATCATTTAACTTTATTTTATCATGTCCTCTTTATTTTTATAATTTACTTTTTCAAATTACTTTGATATGCGTTATTTGAGCCCAAAGTCTTTTGACAACAACTTATCTATCTCTACATAGAATAATCTAAGTAAAATTTGTGTACACTTTATCTTCTTTGGACTTCACCTATAAGATTATATTATTATACACTGTGCAAATTTAAATTAATTGAAGAAATAAATAAAAGAAAAAGGAAAAGTAGGGGGACAAGGTATGACAAGTTTTAATGAAATCCACCCATCTTTGAGGGTACATATTCTTGAGGCAGTTCACACAACCACTTGATTGTTTCCCTTGAAAGAGACCTCTCAACAACTTCTCTCAAGAGTGGATAAGCTTTATAAGATATTTATCTAACATAAAAAAAAAGTATCTAGTGCAATAAATATTTATTTACATCAGGTATTTAGATCTATTTAATATAAATAATATCAAGTGCGAAATTAACATATAATCCTAAACCTACACTCCTTTTTTTGTTTCATTTTATGTGTCATTGTTACTATTTAGCAAGTTAAAAAGATTTTATTCTTAACCCACGATAATTTCAAATACATTGTAATTAATTTTTGAATTGGTAATATTGTCACTAATTATAGCTTTTTGTTATGTATTGTCAAAATATTTAAATTTTATTTTTAAAAAGTTAAAAGATTTTTATGTTCAAATTCATACCGAAAATTTGTTAATTTGACCTTCGCACTTTGAATTAAGTTACATCAGTTGAAACGGAAGTAGGGATGGTGGATCTATCCTGTCGATACCATTCATCTCAATTTATTACTTTCGACACGTACTATAAATTTATATGTAAAAACTCATCAGACACTAAATATAGTGAATATCAAAGCATAACTTTAATTTGAGTATGTAATGAATTAATGCAAAAAAAAATCTCTTTACGCGATCAGGTTATTTTGAACCTAATATTTTTCATACAAAACATAAATAATGACCAACTCCTTCGAATGAATATGGTCTTATATGGCCACTTACCATTTGAATAGAACAAAATAATCTTTTCAAAACTCGTGTATGTTATTTTCAAATGTGCTATGTATAAAATTGAAAATCTCTTATTAAAAAAGCACACAAAACCAAACACTTATCAATATTTGTATAAAATAAAATCTTGTATAATAACCACTTACAATTCAAACATAAAAAAAAATACTTTCAAATTCTCGTTTGTTATTTTCATATCTGTTATGTGTAAAAATGAAGATATATATACGAAACCAACCTACCTACCACCAACTTCCAAACCTTCAAAATATCTTTTTAGGAAGAAATATCTACCCCCAAAGATACCTAACTACATTATAACATTTGTAGCACATGATATTACATTGATGAACCCCTTCAACTAACATCAATCAAATAATATTACCCTTTTTTTACTTCAAGGTCTTTAACAACAACAACAACAACAAGAAAATGGAAGTGAATGGAAATATTAGACCAAATAGAAGTGATGTTCATTTATCAAAAGAGGAAGAAACAAAGATAGAAGAGACAACAAGGGAGTATTTTGATGGCATTGCACCAAAAAGACACACTAAACCTCAACGAAGTGATTATTCTTCAACTTATGTTGATCACATCAATCTCCATCCTTCTTCTCATGACACAATTCTTGAAAATCTCGAATTTCATCGTCTCGAAAATGATCCTCAAGACTACCTCCTTCTCTACATTTGTCTATTTTGTTTTATTCAGTAGAGGCGGATTCAGAATTTGAAGCTAGATGAACTCTTAATATAAAAGTTATGGTTTAATATGTAACATCCGACAATTTAAAAATGAATATGAAGAAGCTTGAAATTTGGAAATAGTCATTTTTGGAAAAAATTAAAATCTGGAAAATTTGGCTAAGTGTGGAAATCAGTGAGTTTTTGGCCAACTTTGAGCAGTCATAACTCCTAGATCAGGATGATTTAGGATTAGTTCCAGTTATGGTTTCGAAGCTTGTGGAACGATCTTTCCAACGCCACTGAGTTTGCTCGATTCCGAGTTCGTATGAGCGAGTTATGATCTTTGAAAGTTGGGCAGTTGACAGGGATTCCGTTCCGGAAATTTAAGGGCATTTTGGTCTTTTCACAAATAATTTCTTTTGAGCTTATATTGTTGTATTAGGCTGATATTTGGATCATTTTTTCCCATTTTGAAAGAGAAAGAGTTAGGGTTCAAGAGAAGAAGAAGAGAAGAAGGAGAAGAAGAAGAGAAGAAAGAGGAGATCAACAAGATTTGTCAAGATCATTGTGGATTTTCGTCGGGGGTGATCCCTATCAAGGTATGTGAGTCTTTAGTGTGGGTTTATCCTTTCCCCCCACATACCAAGCTCGTTTTTATGATTTGAGAAGAGATTGGATTTGTTGTTGAAGTTGTTGAAGTTGTTAGTTGTTGTTGATGTTGTTAGTTGTGTTGTTGAAGTTATTGTTGGTTGTGGGACAGGATTGGGCTGTGTATTTGAGTTGTGATCTATTGTATGTTGAGAGATTGATGATCCTTAGTGTTGGTTGGTTCATACCCCCACACACCAACTCGTTTTTAATTCCAAGAGAAGATTTATTGGTTGTTGAAGTTGTAGTGGTGTTGTGTTGAAGTTCTTGCTGATTTAGTACAGATTTCTGGCTGTGATTTTTGAGTTGAATCTATTGTATAATAAGGGTCTTTATGGTTCTAAGTGTTGCTGCTGAAACCTTGAGGTTGAGAGGGTTTAGAATTGGAAAGAAACAAGGGGAAAAAGTCGGATTTTTGGGGAAAAAGGGGTTGGGCTGTTGCACCTCTCCTAGTGCCAAGGACACCAATCCTTCCCTTTCATTCACCATTTCTTTTTTTCATACATGTTCCTAGGTATTATACCTATGTTTCCTAGTTGTTTCCAACACTCCAAGGTACTTCCAAAAGTCAAGTAAAACTACAATTCAAGTGAAGTTAGTTTCCAAGTCAAGTGAAGTCAAGCTTAGAAGTAAGTAAGTCAAAGCAAGTCTTTAAGGTTTTCCAAGAGTCTTCATTGAGCGTTTTAACTTCATTCTAAGACTCAAGTTCCAAGTTAAGTATTGAGTTTCAAGTCAAGTCAAAAGTTAAGAGTTTCATGTTAAGTTAAGAGTTTCACATCAAGCCAAGAGTTCAAGTAAAGTAAAGAGTTTAAAGTTGAGTTCTTTTCTCAAAGTTATTAGGGAACTATGTATTCCCAAAGAAGTTTTAAAGAAATGTTTTTACATTTAAACAAGGTTGGAAACTGAGATTTCCAAAAGAGCCTTCAGGCTAGTTTTTGAGTAATTATCTCATATCAGCAGGAAGAAATATGTTTTAAAAACATAAGAGCCAGTACATTTTTGGGAGTAGTATCGAGCACCGAATTGGGGGAGCGTTCAAAGAACCCACAGCCCCCATAGAACCATGTTAGCCACCATGGGTAGAAAAGGATCATACTTTTTAGATGAATCCTTTTCAGATTAGACTAGTGGATCCATTAGGCAGTTCAGGTCTTATACCTTTGGCCGGGTATAAGATGCTCTGGCAGCGTGAGGTCGATCGCTGTATCATCACTATAGCTCTTATGTGATGGTTGTCGGTTAGAGAAACTCCCACAGCAGTTATTGTATTTTTCATACACAGAGATTATTGTATTTTTTATATACATCAGTTCATTGTATTTTTATACACATTTCAGGCTTATTGTATCCTTGTATACACACAGAGTTCATAGCATGTTTTAAGCAATCTTTCTTTATATCGCACTTGTTTTAAATTGCCTTATATTGAAAGAAGTCAGTCAGGTTGAGTTAAGTTGAGCCAGGTAAGCTATTCAGTTTCTTCCAGTTTTCCTTCTAGCCTTTGTTGCTTAGTTTTCCAGCTTGCATACTCGTACATTCCATGTACTGATGCCAGTTGGCCTGCATCGTTTGATGATGCAGATTCAGGTACCCCGGATCAGCATCCTGCACGTCGTTGATCCAGCTGAGCACTCCAGAGTCAGTGGTGAGCCTCCTTGCATTCCGGAGGACTCAATTATTTTGTGTTCTTAGTTTTTGTTTTATTAGGATGTTGCGGGGTCTGTCCCAACATCCATCTCAGTATTTTAGAGGCTTCATAGACAGACAGTCAGTCAGTTAGTTTTGAGTCTCTCATCTATATATATATGTAAATATTCTATTTTGAGATTCGAGTTGCCTTTATGGCCATATTTTATAAGTTAAGTTGTTTTGTAATATTGCATTGCATTGAGTTATTCTGTTGAGGTTTCCGCTGAGTTAAGAAAGCCAGGCCAAGGGTTCGCTTGGGGCTAGAAATGGTCTCCGGGTGCCGGTCCCGCCCAGGGTGTAGGCTCGGGGCGTGACATAATACCTACTATTTATTTGCAAATTTTATGAATTTTTTTTGCATAAATTATACTCCGCATTGAAAGTATTGAATCATAATTCTTTTTGTTTAATAGGTTCTGAGTAGATTATCTGTACATATTAGATGCGTTTTTAATACAAATATGATGTTTTAGTTAAAGTTAATGAATTTTGTCGAACTCTTAACTATGCCTTGAGAATGATTTTCATGTCAAGCTTTTTTTCCCCTCATTTTTTCACTTTTGGGGTTTCTTCTTGTTGGTGATTTATATATCAGTAGAAAATGTAGATTTAGAATTTCTAGTAATACAAAAACATGTTTTTTTAAAATATAATATTGGAGCGAGATGAGGTTAAATGAAGCAACCACTACTGAAAATAAAGGTTTTTCTCGCCGCAATTCAATGGGAAATTTGTGTAATAGGACATGATTTTACCATTTATTTCCCATCGAACTAGCTTTACTAAGAAAATGTATAGTGGAGAATAACTTCCCACTAAAATAGTGAGAAACTTCCTAAGTTTTTCATAGGAATAAGGTACAAGTATTCCCTAGACTATGACAAAAATCTTAAATACATATATTAACTAAACTAAGGTCCTATTAGCCCTGAACCCATTTTTTTTGTATTTTTATACACCTTTTTGTTTTACGTGGCATCCAAATATCTCTCACGCGTCTCAACTGTGTGGAGTCACAGAGTGTGCGACTGCCACGTAATCCCAAAGGTGTACAAAATTACAAGAAAAATGAGTTCAGGGGTAATAGGACCTTTTAGTTAAGGTGTGTCTCTGAGATTTCGGTCATAGTCTATGGGGTACTTGTGCCTTATCCATTTTTCATACGAAAACATTACTATTTTTTCTTTTCTCACCGATCTAATCAAAATATCTATGGACGTAGCCACTGAACAATGACTTTTAGTAGTGAACATGATGAAGAGTAACCTTTTGTATAGCTGACACTAGCTTGGAATTGAAGTGTAGTTGATCCATCTGAATCTCACTTTTGTTGATCCAATGGCACAGAAATAGCACTTCCCTTTTAAGTGTTGAGTCATGTACAATTTTTTCTTCCCGATGTATCAAAGAGTACCTATGAACTATGTTCCGGTTTACTCATAAGGAAGATAACGGGGGACGGGGGTGGGAACCGAACTATATGATGTGTTAGTAAACAGGAACCATTATGTAAAAGATTTGGGGATCTATGTTTGGTCAGATTCTTCCAAAAACATCGCTAGGTTTGTGTTGAATCCTACAAAATGTCTGTATTTTTGAAGGATCTGACACGGGAACAGAAACATTTTGGAGGGTCTGAGTAACATAGTCGGGGATTATAAATCACATTAACGTCAATCGGATTCATATATATTTTGGTTTTGCAGAAATTGGTTTACAATGACAGCCAAGTGACAGAGGAATTTATTGAAACAGAGTATTACAAAGATCTTAATTGCATTGACAAGCAGCACCACACGGTTACTATTCTCACTCTTATAACACTCTTATTACCAAACAAATCCAATTACAGTCGAACCTCTCTATAACGACATCGTTTGTCTGAATATTTTTTGGCTGCTATAGAGAGCATATAAGAGTTAATAGTAAAAAAATACACTTACACACTTTTTCGCGAGTTTCATATCTCAACTATGATTGTTCTCTTTATCTAAACTATCACTTCTTTTGTATTAAAGTACATATCAATGCTGAGTTGGCCAAATATTTGTTCACAATCAACAATAGGCGTGTGTAGGCCAACTCAACGTCGAGATATGTTTTAATACAAAGGGAGTGATAGTTGAGGTATGAAACTCGCGAAAAGGTGATAGATTAGAACAATATATTGTTGAGGTATGAAACTCATGAAAAAAATGATGATTTAGGTGTGTTCTTTTACCACGAGCTCAACATATAATATAATCTAATGTGCAAAACGGCTCCCAAGAAAATTTAATTGTTATAGTGAAATGTTGTTATTGAGGATGGATGTTACAGAGAGGTTTGATTGTATTCCTTTAGTCTATGTTGTTCGGGTTCTCTAAAAATAATGCAATTTCGGAGGATCTGACATGCTCGTGGCCGTATTTTTAGTCGATCCAAGAGCAATGTAGCTTTTGGTTAAAAAATAAGGTTCATGAACTATTTTTTGTGGGAAATTGCAGACAGGAACAGGATTTATCAAAGTGGAGAATAATGGGAACACTTTCAATATAGGAGCTGATTCTGCTACTGATCCAAGCCATGTTTACAAGGGGAATCCAGCTACTAATGATTGGATTCCTTCTGCTGTTGATGAGGTATGACCAAATGAAACTTTTTGTATATGTGACAAAATGTTTGCGATAACTTGCTGAGAGACGTGTGAGATGAAAAAGTCTAAGAAATGATCTCATGTGACACAATGAGTTCATGGTGAACACCTGATAGGGGGAGGGGATTGGGGGTTAATCTATTCACTCAAATTAATTTCCACATGTATTGCCACTTGGAATTCTTTGGAGGAGCTTTTGAAACGTGATATTCACCAACATGCCATATTCCTCCAAGGGTATTCTAAAAAAAGTTCAGGATAATTCCGTGAGCACTCAATAATTTAAATATGAAACTCACAAAATGAGATTGGTTTAGTGTTTGTTAACCTATTTCAGGGGCGGCTCTTGCTTAGAAAAATTAAGGCACATGCCTTAGGCCCCCAATTTTGGGAGGCCTCAAATTTTTACCAAGAACAAATTATGTGTTTTTATTTTTATAAAAATAATAATTATTTATAATCAAGCAACGGGTATTATATTATGATATATAAGTCATACGCAACCACACATGCAAATCCTTGATTTGAGAGAGAGAGAGAGAGAGAGAGAGAGAGAGAGAGAGAAAGAAAGAGAGAGAGAAAGAACCTTTGCCCATTCATATACCACTTCAACCAAACCAAACTTCAGGTTCTCTTGGGCATACTCCTTTGGGTCAATCGGTAGCTTAAACTGAGCCTGAAGCTCCCCAAGTCTTATTGCAGTTTCATGTAATCTGAAATCCAACGATAATGATATTGTCATTGAGAACAAAGTAACAAAAAAAAAACTATAATCCCAAAGAACAGGGTTAAGTTACAGCTCATGGTAATTAATGAGAAAATACCTACAGAATACATCAGAATGACTTGAAACAATTAGAAAAAATATGAATGAAGCTATCAGAATGAAATTACTGTAATCAACAACTAGAGTTGCACTAGTCAACTAAAGACAAGTAGACAACATTGACAAAGTGCAAGGAGGAGATGACATGACTTCAGAAGTAAAAGAGAGCGAAGTGGCCATACACCGTTTAAACAGTAACAACCTTTGTAGGCACAAATAATGACAGAAATGTTCTGCGGAAGATCTGAAGCTGTGTAAAACTCTATCCTCTGTTGTTCCAGTAACTTCTTTACAGAAGGAAATTTGGCTATTTTGCAGTCAAAAGATATTCCATTAGCAGTTGTGCATTCAGAGAAAGACCCAAAATCAGCAACCAGGTCTTAGACCATTACATGATTGATTTGTAAATCTGACCAAATCCCATCTTCAAAAAATCTTTCAATAAAGGAAAAGCAGGGCATACACTGACAATATAAGAGAATTGGCAGCTGGCCCGAAAATTCTTTCCCTCTATAAAGTGTATTCACTATAACAAAGAAGAAACAACTTGATAAGAAATGAGCCTCGAGCCTAAATCAACTCCAAAAGTACTCATGAGGTAAGAATTGCCCAGGACCATATAAAGAGACAACAACCCATTTCCACCATCAAGGTGGGACACTCAACAAAAATTGCTTACCACACATTTACTCTATCAGTACTTTCACAGCACCCACTTTGTGATATCAAGAAAGTGTGTCATAGCTCTTTGACCTGTGACCTTGTGATGTGTCTATTCGGATGTGCAATTCCGTGAAACATGTGACATATTTAACTTGATATATTATAATCCAATTATAGAGATATACCCAAGTTAGTAACTAGCATCCCGTACAACTTGCATATGCGATTCTGTGAAACATGAGAATACATTTGACATGATATGTTTTGTTCTCATGAAAAAAAAGAATGATGTATTTTATTCCAATCCTAGAGATAAAAACCAATTTCGAACCCTAAATTGTCCAACAAAGTAGTGATAAAAAGGAAAGTACATCTTGTTTGATATCATATTCCAATCATCTCATCAATTAATTTTGACGAGTTTTCTATCATTAAACCTAATGTATAACAAGGAGAAGTCTTCACTGTCTTTTAGGCTCATCCATTAAAGAAACATTACAAAAAATCGACATGGCTGATATACAGGTTTGATCCCACAATAACTCAGACACCGCAAACACAAAATCTTACCAAAACTCTTCAATAAAAAAATTTTTATCCAAAATTACTAACAACAATTGAATATATATTTCATAGATGAACAGGAAAAATGACAACACGAAGACATGAGCATATCACACCATATATTTTGAAAAGAAAAATAACCTCTTTTTAGCCTGAGAAAGCTTTGGCGTGAGGAAAGATTCAGAAGTCTCCTTCTGCTGAAACACAAAGGAAGACATGATCGCCACTGCCTCTTCTGGTTCCAGGTCATCTAGTTGATTCTCAAATAAACATTCTGTGCATATCAACTCCTCTCCGGAATTCATTACGCAAGCAACACGGCCTTTGATTTGAACTACAAGGTCAGCATCTATGCAGCCAATTTCTTTTAACACATCTATCTGCAAATAGTGTAAAAGGGGATGTTTATGAACCCTTCCTTTGCAAGAATTGATTGGCACGAAAAGGGAAACCAAATTGTTATGATAATGTGGTTCCATACCCGACCCTGAAAATCTGGCATCTGCTGAAGTGCCTCATCTGACATTTCAAACCTCATCTAATTCTTTAGCCAATTTCATGTGCTCATCCAATTTAATACAACCATGACTCTTATTCTGTGCCATTTTCTGCAAGAGATTATTCCATTTGTAGTATGCTTCCACAAGATTCATGTCTTTCAACTTCAGATCTGGCATAGAATCTTCATTAGAGAATGAAATGTGGAGAATCTTACAGACAGTCATTGCCATATATTCACTACAAAAAATTCAAAACTTTAGAGACAATGCGAACATTGGACTAGTAAGTCAAAAGGTTCTTTCTCCAGGATCACCGGAAACCTTGGTAGCCGTGTTTTCCTTCAAGCATACTTGATTGACTAAAAACATGGTCAAGAAGAGTAATATTAAGGCTGGAGACAAGTCATCCAATATCACAAAGAATGTCACCTCGTCGGAAAACATGGTTTGGATGGAGGGAAACTAGAGATAACTTGCTTAGAAGGATGACAATCAGATGGAAAGTTGTGTCATGGATTTGCTATTTATTGCACAAGGCTTCTGAGGTCAGAGGTAATGAAGTCTGGAGGTGGAAGCTTAGGGACCATCGAGCCGTTTATTTCTGTACAAAGAAGTTAGTGCTTTCGGCAGATTTGTTTCCATTGTCGCAGTACAGGGGAGTAAAAGGTCCATTATTTTTATTATTCCAGAATCAGCATTCAATGCTGGTTGAGACAAGCCAGCACATAAAATTGGAAATTTTATTCAGAGAAAAACAAGATTACAACAGTCACATCTCCCCAATAATTGAACTCTTCCCATGCTGAAGCTACTAACAAATACAGATGGACAGTGAGATCTGGCACTCTCTCAATGGAGGAACTCCATAAAAACAAACGGATTGGAGGAATCCAGGATAAAGAGATCCTGGGAAGATGCTTGCTGGGCCATTTCGACGGTCAGGAGATCCCAAACCATAGTCACGTGGATATGGGCTAACAGAAAATGGGGAAGCTACATAGGGGTATTCGAAATGTGTGACCATCATTTTCTCTTTGAGTCCCTTTTTGAGAAGTCTTTTGCAACTAATTCTAACTTGTTTTAAGACTTGAGTAAATGAGTTTGAGGATGAAGAGGGTTGAGTTTCATATTTCAAAATGAGTTTAAGGGAACTAAGTATTCCTAAGCATGCAACACTCTTACATTTAAGGTGAGAGATGCTTTGATTTCTAAATGAGTTTATGAGGAATCTTGGGCATCACCTCTTTTAAGAGGATATTTTTAGTAATTATCGCACATTGAGGAAGAGTTATGTTTTTAAACATTTGAGCATGAGTTATATATTATTGGGAGTAGTATTGAGCACAAATATGGGATGAGTTCAGGCAACTCAAAATCTTCATAAATCATATATGCCAACATGGGTAAAGGGTCATACTTTTTAGATAATTCCTTATTGCTTTTAAGCATAGCTTAGTGGATCTACTTAGTTGAGGATGACTATACTCCGACAAGGTATAGGGCAGTTTTGGCAGCGTGGGCGAGACGTTTTATCATCACGTAGCTCATAATGATGGTTGTCGATTCGAGTTTCTCCCAAATAAGAGTTATTATTATATTTTTATATACAGTTGAATTATTATTGTATTTTTACATACAATTGAGTTATTATTGTACTCTTACCTACAATTGAGTTATTATCCATTGTTTTAAAAGTTTTCCATACATTGTATCTTTTATGGTTGCTTTATCCTTGAGTATTTTGAGCTGAGTATCTTGAGCTGAGTATTTTTGAGTTGAGTTGAGTATCTTCGAGCTGAGTATCTTATCTTTGAGTTGAGTATCTTACCTTTGAGTTGAGTATCTTATCATTTAGTTGAGTATCCTATCCTTAAGTTGAGTTTGAGTTGAGTTGAGAGAGTTTGAGAAGAGGTAAGTATGTTTCTTTTCTATCAGTTCAAGCTTATGTTTATGCTTTAGAGTTCCCCTTACATGCTCGTACATTCAATGTACTGACGTCATTTGACCTACATCTTTCATGATGCAGATCAGGTATTCAGGGTCATCAACATACACTCCATTGATACCACTTGCAGTTCCAGTTAGCTTTGGTGAGCCTCCTTGCTTCTGGAGGGTTTCACTTTTACTTTCAGTTGTTAAGATGTCGTGGGTCTTGTCTCGATAATTCTTTTGTAATTGTAGAGGCTTCATAAATAATTTAAAGGTCGAGGAGTCTATCATTATTTCATTTGTTGTTGTAATGCTTTGAGGTCATGAGGCATTTAACTAATATTTGTTAAATTATTTTTAAACAATTATTGGAGTTAAGTTTAAATTGAGTGTTCAAAGTTTAATTATGCATTTGGAGTTCCCATTTTGTTTGAGTAAGTCTTCTGTTGAGTAATGAGTCAAGCCAATGGTTCGCTTGTGAACCAATAGTGATTCTCGAGTGTCGGTCAC